TATGGACTAGTTCATATAGTCACTGTGGGTGTACTATTTAATCCACAACATCCCCACTTTTAAGATTAATACTTTTTATAAATATTTACTTTTTATCAGGTCATCACATAAGTTCTGTCCGAATTTTAACTTTTTGTTAAAATGAACGATATTTAAAGAGTATTTTATAATGTCTAATGGAGCTGAACATTATTTTTATGTTTAGATACATTTAAACTGATCAAATTTTATTTCAGAGAACAATAAAATTAAATTTTGTTTGATTAAAACCCTGCTAACATAGAAGTACCCAAGAATCATTTGAGGCACATAATGCTTTATGAGTTCAAGAAAGGAAACTCAGCAGATGAAGTGGCTAGAAAATTTCACTCAGTTTATGGAGAGGAATGTGTGAATGAAAGAACTTGCAGAAGATGGTTTGCAAAATTCAGACCTTGAAGATGAAGATCGAACCGGACGTCCAATTGAGTTTGATGAAAAGCTTCTTGAAGCAACCCTTGAAGAAAATCCTGCTTTATCAGTTGAGGAATTGGCAGTGGTTCTCAGTTCAAACCATACAACTGTTCATCATCATCTTCAACAACTTGGAAAAGTTCCTAAACTTGAAAAATGGGTGCCCCATGAATTGTCTGAAAACAACCTCAAATCCTGAGTTGATATCTGCTCTTCTCTCCATTCTCGTCAACTTGTTTCACCTTTTTTGGATAGACTTGTGACTGGCAGTGAAAAATGGATCTTTTATCGAAATGTTAAGCATCGTAGACAGTGGCTTGGTAAAGGGGAAGGACCCCAGCCACAGCCAAGAAGGGAACTTCATGGGCAAAAGGTTCTTCTTTCAATCTGGTGGGATCACCAAGGAATAATCCACTTTGAATTCTTACCACCTAATGCAACAATTAATGCTCAAATTTTCTGTCAGCAATTAGAGTGTTTGAACCAAGCTTTGAGGAAAAAAAGACCTGCTCTAGTGAATTGAAAAGGGGTTATGTTTCATCAGAACAATGTGAGACCTCACACAGCAAGAATCACGTCACAGAAGATCAAAGAACTTGGTTGGTAGAAAATTCCTCATCCACCTTATTCTCCCGATCTTGCTCCTTCAGACTACCATTTGTTTTGTAGCTTGCAGAATCATTTGGAAGAAACAGCTTTTGTAACACAGGAAGAGGCTAAAACTGACATTTGTGAGTTCTTCGAATCAAAGCCAAAATAATTTTACAGTAATGGAATTAGTAAGCTTGTTAATAGATGGAAGGAAGTCATAGATAATCAGGGAAAATACATTGTTGATTGAATCTCTAATTAAATGTAACATTTGGTCACTTGTTTTCTTTATTCAAAATTTGAGCAGAACTTATGGGATGACCTGATATTAGTATTTATATCTCCCCATCCTCTTTCTGGAGAATTTGTCATTGTATGACATAGTGGCATTTCCATCTCAGATTGACTTCAAGTTCTTCAGCACGCTTTCTTTTTCTGGAACTTATCTTTGTAGGTTCCATGACTTGTTGTAGTGCTGGCACATCAAAAACAACATATAGTATTTTTATTGGTTCTTCCAATGTTTCAGCTCTTTCATCAATGAATCTTTTTTTTTCAACTGATTATGGTGTCATTTATGTTCAAATCTTTTCCCTTTTACCATGTAAACCAACTTCATGATTCTTGCTGATATTATACCGTCTTCCCATGTTTCTTTGCCATCCTTATATGTTCTAAAGAACACTTTCTCACTAGCCTTGAAAGTTTTGGTGTCATTTTTGTTATTCGTACATGTTTTTCAACTTGATAATAACTTGTCGAACAATGATTTTACTTTTCTAGCATGGCATATTGGGGTTAGGTGTCAGAAAGTTTTGAAGTGTTTCCTCATTTATTTTCTTAAGACTTGCTTTCTTCAATGCTCTCTTAAATGTTCCCACAAACCATTTCACTTGTCTGTTCAACCTTGGCTGATACACCAGGGTCATAATATGTTCAAATTTTTTGAATTCTTTACGTATGAATTGCATTCTGCTTTCAGAGACTATGGAATTTGGTATGCCATATCTCACAAATAGATCATGCAAGAAATTCATTGTCACAGATGTTTGATTTTTGCACTTAGAAATTTCCTGCCATTTAGTGAAAGTATCAACTATCATAAGATAATGTGATCCATTCCCAGGACCTGCAAAATCTATATCCAGTCTTAACCATGATGTGTTTGTCTTTGGCCAAGATTCTATATTTGCAATAGGTAATTTTGCTGTCAGAGCACAATCTCTAGAAGCTTTCATTATTTTTTCAATATCTTGGTCTATTCTGGTTTAATATACAAAACTTCTCATCAGAGAGTTCATTCTTGAAATGCCAGGATGTCCCCTATGAAAATCCTTCAATATTTACCCAAACATTACAACACCATTGCATAGCGAGTAAGCATTTAAGTCGGGATTTCATTCTTTGTTACTTTCTTTCAATTGCTTTTTTATTTTCACAATAAAGACGTCATTTTCCGCTTTTTTCTTTTATTTCTTATTATTTTATAGTGTAGTCTATTAGCTGCATGCATAGGTATTTCTTTCTTTGAACCATATATTGTTAATAGAGTCTATAATCTGTTTGCAACCTAAAATTTCCTCCATGAATAAATTGAAGAAATTTCTTCACAGCAAATATAATTGCTAGAGGCTCTTTTTCTATCTGGCTGTAATTTTTCTCTGCTGGTAGAATCAAGTGTGAAGCATGAGCAAAGGCTTTCATTTTACCGCCAACGTATTTGTGTAAAATCACCACCCAAATAACATACTCATTAGCATCTGATGTCACTACAATTTCTGCTTTTGGATCATAGTGTGCTAATGATAAATCTGACATAAGTCTTTATTTTGGGGGAAAACATCTTTTAACAATTATCATTCCAGTTCCACATTACTCCTTTTTTAAGGAGATCATTCAGTGGAGCTCTCAAGTTCTGCATATTATGTACATATATTTGATAGTAATAAGCCAGTCCTATAAAGGCTTCTAATGTCACGTTTGTTGATGGAGGCATATTTTCAATTGCACTTGCCCTCAACTTGACGACCATTTTTATTATTAATTTGACCACGTATCTGTTTATATTTCTGAGATGAGGTATTATGTACATTATTTACATTATTCGGACTATTGTCTTCATCTTTGTCGCCATATTTATTACAACGTTTCAGTTGTTGTACACTCCAGCCTTCTTCAGGTGGTTGGAATGTCAAACTGAACCCTTTATTTCTCTCACTGGGGTAGACTGTTCTAGTTCCACGTGCCATGTTTAATGGATGTCAGTTATCTCCAAGTTAATTTCCACTCTGAAATTATTCTTTTTTATTTTGGGTCCTGTCACTGGTTTAACTAATTTTTCTTTGAGGACACATGGCACTGTGGATAAAGGCGTTAGTTATATCCAGTGACAGGACCCAAAGAGTGTGAGTTCAATACGTGGTTAAGGCAGTGGAGAACTTTCAGAGGGAAATTAACAGGAGATAACTGACATCCATTAAACATGGCATGTGGCATTAGAACAGTCTACCCCAGTGAGTGAAATAAAGGGTTAAGTTCGACATTCCAACCACCTGAAGAAGGTCAGAGCATACAATGGCTGAAATGTTGTAATAAATATGGTGACAAAGATGAGGACAATAGTCCGAATAATGTAAATAATTTGACCAAGGTATTTAATTTTTGGCAAAAACAATTCACATTTTTCTTCAATCTCTTAGTCTTTTCAAAATTATTTTCCCATTCACAACAGGTTGTCCTTTGGATACACACTTTCAATCAAAAAGTAATCCAGGTACACTACTGCGAAATCAGAATCTACAAGCAGATATCCACAGCTTGTTGAAAAATAGTTGGTGCCACCTTTATTCCAAAAGCAAGTTGGTTAAACTTCTATAATCCTCTGTGCATATTTATGGGTGTTAATTCTGAACATTCATTTTCAATCTGAATTTGTAAATATGCTTCAAAGAGATCCAGCTTTGAAAATATTCTTCTGCCACTTAGTTTCGAAAAAATTTTCCTCTGGACTTGGTAAAAGATAGTTTTGGGTTTCTAAACAACTGTTTAATCCTGTTGAGGAATCTGTGCTGACACAAATTTTATTATTTTATTTGTTTATACATACCACCGGTGCAGCCCAGTTAATTTTTTAATTACACTAATTCTTTCAAATCCAACTCTTCGTTGACTTGTTCCAATGCTGTGAATGGCATGCTCTGTTTCAGTGTGAATACTGGCATCAAACCTTTCCTTTTACTTGAAAATCTGCCTTGAATTTTAAAAACTGACCCAGTTCATTTGATAAAACATCTGGAAAACATTTTTTTTTAATTCTTCCTTAAGATTTTTGCCTCTGACATTTTAAATGGATTGCTTGTCAACTAAATAATCACTGACCCTAGACTTGGAGAGATTAATACTGAAGTAACTTGGTTGGTTTTGTTTAGTGGCATATCAATCTCTAGGGGTTATTTAATGCCAAAATCTATGTATTATTTATTTTAGACAATAATGATTTTAGTGATATGAGTCTTACTAATTAACCCATAGCTGGGGGGAAGAAGGTGTTGATTGATAATTTTCCCTTGGATATTCGCACATAAGTGAATATAACAAGCTGAATTGGAACTTGGCTCTCCAATTAACAATTCTGAGCAATTATACATCGCACTAACTGCACATCCAAGCTTACTGTTAGAAGCTGTCACAAATTCACAGATCTGTAAGTCCAAATAGCTGCAAATCCACTTGTTCACTGCTACTGACTTCATATGCAGTCAAAGATAATCCCTAGACAGAACATCTGTGTTATTCCATTAACCTCAGATGTAGCACATGCAGGTTTTTCCATTAACTATTTTCTTTTAGAAATGACAGAATGAGTTTGTCCCAGTTTTTATTTTATCCTGAAGCCAATGGCATTGGTATACACACACACACACACTCAGTCTTTTTTAAGTGTATTTCTTCTACACACATCACCAGGCATTCTGAAGTGGCCACCTATCTATGTACTGACCAGGCTCGATGTTGCTTAACTTCTGTGATTGTACGGGAACTGATGTTTCAACATGCTACAGTTCTATACCTTAAGGTGATCCTAAGAGAACTGGTAGTTCTACCAGGATTTATTAATGGTGAACACAACCTGAGATATGTAACATGGCTCCAGAGAAAGTTGTCTTTGTGGCTATCAGTTTAACATTGTGAATAATAAAGAAAAACAATATTTTCATAAGTTCACTTTGAATGCATTGAATCCAACAAACATTTTTTAAAAATTAAATTTTTGGCACAGCTAAAAAAAACATTTTAAAACATGAAAATTCATGTACTTACATATTTATAAGCCTACCATTCACTTATAATTTGAATATTGCTGCCACATATGGTCTAGTTCTCCTGCCATATATTTGGAGATTCTTGATAAAATCCAAAGAAAAATCAGCAATATTATTGGTCCTGACCTGGTATCTCAGCTTCAGTCTTTTTCCTACTGCTGTAATGTAGCATCTCTATGCTTTTTTCTATAAACACTTTTATGGTAACTATTCTGTTGAACAAAAATTTGCTAGCAATCCAGATTTGTCTCCCTTGTATCCAAACAACTGTTACCATGCCAAAGACAAAAAAAACATCTGAATTTATATCAGAGAAACTGTTTACGTGTTAACATTGATCAAATATTCATTACTTATTCTGTTCAGCTAGATTTTTAAACAGCAACTAAATTAAGTTGGGGAAGATGTCTTAGAGACCTGTTTTCAGAAATCCTGTTGTGGATTTGAATCAGCCCGCAACAAAGAAAAAGGCAAGAGAAGTGTTTAAATATAAAATATTTTTATTTTTGTGTGATTTCTCACATCTACATGTGAGAAAAAAGAGGTGAGGAGGAAAGTGTCAGTGTCAAGTAGCTTAGTGAGGTGAGGAAGATAGGTGAATGAGTAAGGGAATTTCTTTTAAGCCTTGTGCATCTTCAACTGTTGCTGTGCATTACTGTTCCTTCTCCTTAATGGCTTGTCTGGCCTAGACACTGCTTATATACCCTTCAAAGGGATCACAAAGGATGTTTTTTTTTATTGTCAGTGGGAATGCAACCCATTGGTTGAAAAATGTTAAATATTTATTTTCAAAGCATTAATTTATTATTAGAAGGATGTGCAAATCCTCTGACCCAGAAACTATTTTTTGTAATTTGGTGTTGACTGTGAAATGAATTTTAAATCAATAACCAAAAATACAATTTAAATGAGGAATCTTATATTCTGGAATTTAAATTTGTTTTCTATTTTGCTTGCCTTTCAATTAGGATTGTAATGGGAGAAGAGCTATGGAATAATGATTTATACTCCTTTTCAAATTTCCCTCATTATCGGCATTATTATATCCATTATATAATAAAACCATATTTCATGGACAGAACAGACTGGGTGAAAGGAAAAGGAATTAAAAACATGCTTTGTTCTCAAAAACATACTTAAAACTATATATGTATATACAAAACTATACATACATACATATATATATATATATATATATATATATATATATATACACACACAAAACTATACATATATATATATATATATATATATACAAAACTATATATGTATATGTATATATACACAAAACTATACATGTGTATATATATATATATATATATATACACACACAACACTATATATGTATATATATATATATATATACACACACACACACACACAAAAAACTTATGTGTGTGTGTGTATATATATATATATATATATATATATATATATATATATATATATAAACTATATATGTATATATACACACACAACACTATATATATATATATATATATGTCCCATGCAGAGAATAATATATCACATGGCAAATCAAAGTATCAGGAGAAACAAAATGGAATGATAATATAGAGATACTCCTTCCTGTGTCTGGAGAAGCCATGTTTAGGACTCAAAGGAGCCAGGTGCATTTACTATGTCCCAGGCAATGACATTCACCAAAGGAGAAATAAGTATTAGGCTTTCCAAAATTGAAGACTGTTAGCTGGAGTTTCTGGGAATGATATATACCTAAGGTATATACCTAGGGTAAGCTGCTGGGGAGCCAGAATTAGCCTCTGCCACCTAAAGAAAGCAACCTTTTGGTTTGGCAGCTTTATAAAAATGAAATTGACTGCCACTTTCATCACTGCATTGGAGTGATATCACTAAGTGGCTGTCATGTGACCTCCATGATGTATCTCCACCAAAGGGAGATAAGCAATTGTATATGTATAGGAAGAATATCTAAATTCTTTGTAAACAAAATTATCTGTTAAATAATTTGTAATATAACCCCCATTTTGAATATTCAAAAAAATAGAACCAAATTCACTTCCTCTATGTCACTTGAGAGCTGTCCTGTTAAAAGAACTGTTTACTTAACAATATCCACCCTCAAAATTAGTTTTGTGTTTTATAAAATCATTGCATTTGATTTAAAAATATAATATACTCTTACTCAGTATATTTGCTGAACTGTTTTTTGTAAAATGTCACTGTATTTGTATATAACCGATGTATATCATTCCATACACTTTAAATAAACACAAGATCACTTATAATGTAAATGCAGTGTAAATAGTTGTACTGAATGGATAAACAAAACCTTCTGTCAAAATAAAAGAACTTGCTTAATCTAATAATAACTCAATATTAATACTATTAATATAATTATTATAAAGAAAGCATTTGAAAGTAAGATGAAAGACATACTAATCAAAAAATTAATAACGTTTGATAATGCTTTATCTAATAATAAATTCAAAATAATATTATTTCACCTAACACTATGAGCATAAATAAAGCAATTGAAAATAAGATGAAGAAAATTCTAATCATAAAACAATAATGTTGAATAATGCTTTATTTCTTATTACTTTAAACATTATTTTTATTATATATATATATATATATATATATATATATATATGTATATATAAATAAAAAAGAAAGAACAGTAACTGTCTAGTGGAAGTGAATTTATCTGTAACCATGGAAACATGAATTATGATTTTAGCTGTGTCTTTAAAACCCAGTAATTTTAAAAGTTACTCCAAAATTCGCTTGAGGATGAAATGGAACTAATGTTTTTAATTTAATTACAAAATTAAATTCGGACCTTCCATTTTTGAAACATGGTTAGAACTGTGTAACGGAAAAACCATATTTTAAATCAATTAATTTATAATATATATATATATATATATATATATATATATATATATATGTTTGAGTTGTTTTCCCTGTTTTTAATTTTCTTAGTGAAATATGTAACATCTGGCCTAGATTAAGATGTCTCTTTATGAATTCAATATAATATCAGTACTATTTATATTATTAATATAAGGAAAGCAACTGAAATTAAGATGAAATAAATCCTAATAAAAAATTAATAATGGCTGACAATGTGTCACCTAAGAATAAATTTCAAGATAATATTACTATTATTAATATTACTAGAGGTAATAAAGTAACAAAATTATAATGAAAAAATAAAACTATTCAAAAATTAAGAATGACTGAAAACGCTTTATCCAAGGAAAATTCAAAATATCTGTTAATCACTTTGGAAAGATTTCTGTTAAGAAATTTCTTTGTCTCTGGAGTGACTGATGAGATATGAAAAATTTCTTTGTCCTGGGTCATCTTACTCTCTCAATGAGTCAAGACAATTTATATATGGTAAGGGAGACAATAAAAGAGTGGAAGAGAAGTTAAGAAAGATTTTTATGAAATCACTTTTTTTTTTATTATCAATATTGAATAAGTTTTACCTTGTCTGGTATAAATCCACACATTTGGTAGCTGTATAAAACACATGGGCGAAATATGTAACTACTTCAGTTACTATGTATAGCCTTTAATTGGAAGAAAATGTACCTGATGGCAAGCAAAAAAGATAGTCCTAGGTGAGAGTTACAAAAATGTCAAAATTAAAAGAGTATAAAAATTCAGCTGAGGAGTGTAATGACAACTGAGAGAATGTGTGACAAACATGAAAACATATAGGAATAATGAATGACATATAGGAATAATGAATGACATTTTTCAGAATCTGTCTAAGGAATTGAAAAATAACAGAAACTAAGAAAAGAATGTTGGACCACAATATCATATCTAAATTTCTAATGTGGCAAGAAATGCTGGACAATTTCATCACATGAAGAAAACACTTAGAGAAAACAAGATGTGGTTTAAATGACAAATATTGAGAATATGACAAGTGTATATGACTAACAAAGAAAAAGAACTACAAATTGCTTCTAACAATCAGAAAAAACAGTTGAAATTTTGATGACATACAATAAGAAGGCTTAGAGAATTAAACAATCACAGGGATATGATAAAGGCAAGAGAAGCAGAGGAAAGCAGTGTGCAAACTACTTGATGTCTTTGAACAAAAGGGATGTTAAGCAACAATTAGTGCAGAGATCAAAAATAAGACCTTGATCAGCCAAATTCTTAAAAAACGTGATACAGAGTAAAAGACAGAGATACAGGCATCTCCTGCTTTTTAAAAGTTCATGTCATACCATTTTACCAAGATTTGTCCAGGTTTCTCTGGTTATTCAAAACATCAAAAGAATAAGCAATTGTACACCTTCTTTTATATGCCATATCACTTCAGGGAATGATCAATTATGACTCTCCTTTGTAACTTTAAGCAATATTTGTAACCTTACTAAATTTCCCAGCCCTTATTCTGCCATCCATCTGTACAAGCTCACTAGGCAGGTTACTCACTGTTTCCCATCTTGCCATCAACATGTCATATGTCATATGAAAGTCAAATTTTTTAAGGTCTCTTTCCTTGTTATGTGTCCAAGACATTTTAACAGTTCTTTTCTGATTGTAATTAAAAGTATCACTTTTGTTTCTATTTTTCTTGAAACCTCCTTGTTACTAACATGTTCTGTCCATAGTATTCTTAGATTACTTCTGTAGAAACACATCTCTGTTACCCCAAGACTCCTCTTCATCTGCAATGAAAATGTCCAGCATTCACTGCCATACAGAAGAACTGATATTAGTATTTCAGTGCTCTTTCTTAATACTTTGCTTAGCTCTGTCATCTGTGGTAACAATTCTTATATTGTTAAATTTCTAATTAAAAAATTTACATGGTAAAAATTATTTGAGCATCTAGGGGTCCCCAAAATAACTTAATTTTAATATCTTCATGGTGTGTAATTTGCTTTGGCTGACGTGGAAGATTTGAAATATAACTACAGGGTGCGATGGATAAATTGTTATCTAAATTATGCAAAAATGAAAATAAAACTGACATCTCATTTTAAGATATATTTACCAAAATTATACAAAAATATCTTGAAATACTAAAGAGTAAATTTATTTAATAAAATTGCCATTGCTTTCAACCATGCCCTCAGACGATTTCAGAATCTCCTGCAACTTGTTCCAGATGGTTTCCTTGTTTAAGTTGGTGAATGCTGCCATATTCCTTTTCTTCAGTTCATCTTTGGTGTTACAAGGAGTATTGTTGGTCTCTTGCTTAACTGCACCCCACACATAAGGGGAGTTAGGTGGCAAGATGTGAGGAGTGATATGGTTGCAGTAATTGTCTGACAGCCATGATTAGGTTCTCCTGCTTGTGTGGCATGGTGCAGAGTCCTGTTGCTAGACAGTCTTTCAGTAGCCACCATCTTGACACAAGGCAGCACAACCTCTTCAAGGCACTTGATATATGCTTCCATGTTGAGTCTGAGACTCTCATCAACAAATTTGGGAAATTCTTTCCTTATGAGAAGGAGCAGAGTGAGTTTTCTGAGCTGTTGTACCTTCATAAACACTCATCCAACTCTTTCTGAATCCTCTGCACTGTCCTCGGATTGACACCCACTCTGAAATGTTCATATTGGAGCTTCTGGCATGAATGTCAAGGGGTACAGCATGCCATTTTCAAATTTCTGGTGAAGTGAATTACATCATGGCGCTTTTTTTCTCACAGACAGTGACCCTATTATACTGTGCAGTCATCAAAATCAAAACAAACTATGCCCATGCACGAAATTAAAAATATAAAATGCTTATAATATACTCCTTGCACCCTTTATATGCTTGACTAATATTTTTATCATATGGTTCTTTGCAGTATTCAAAACATTCTCCAAAGATACCCTAAACCCATGTGCCCTTCCAAACTTTGTCATACCTTTCTTTGCAATCACTGCAGGAAGTCAATCATAGTGAGAATCTCATGTCACACTATTTTGGCAATGTTCAAAATTGTTTTCCTATATAAATTAATTACTTCTTTGTTTTACACCATTTTAGCTTACAAAAATAGCTTCTTCACTTTACACTACTTTGACTTGCAAAAAATGATCTCTTTACACTATTTTGGCCTACAAAAAATGTATTCTTTGCTCTACACAATTTTGTCTTACAAAAATAGCTTCTTCACTTTACACCATTTTGACTTAGAAAAAATGGCCTCTTTACACTATTTTGATTTACAAAAAATTGCTTCTTCACTTTACAAAATTTTGACTTACAAAAGGTTTTATAAGAATTATCATTTTAGAGATCTTGTTTTTGTTGATTTTGTTTAGTGACATATCCAGTTCTATGTGTGAAATAAGGCTGAAATCTAAATATTTTGAATACAATTTAATGCCTTCAACTACAGATATTTTGTACATAATTTTATACTTTCAGGGTAAATGTATATTCTATAGATATATATTTTGTAGATCATCTATTGCAGGTGTTACATGTTTTCATATAAAACTATTTCTTTAAGGTAGGACATTATGTTGATGGCTTCAGTATTTTCAAATAATTTTCTCATATTGTTTTCTTTGTAGCATTTATGTTTTATAGAAGCTAAGTGAGTACCTTCAGTTAAGATGTGTTTTTATCATGAGTGCTGCTTAACCTGTTGTACATGTTGGTTGATCTTCATTTTTCAGTCATCATTTGGAGAGAAAGAGGCAGATTTTAATTCTCATTTTACTGTTTGCCATTTCACAAGCCAAGACTTGATTCATTGGAAAATATTCAATTTTCATCAGAATTCAAAGTTTTCAGGAAAAAAAAAAATATTTTTAAAATTATAATGACCTACTACAAATTTGTAATGTCAGACTTGGGATATATCACTGTCATTTTTTTTCTTTTTTAAGATAAAATTTGGGGTTCCATTACTGATTAAATTGATTTTCTCACACTCTCAACTTCCTGAGGCTGTACCTATCAACAATGAAGTCCTTGTGTAACAAAATCATGTTTGTTCATAAATATCAAAATGTCAAGTTTAATATAAATCCTGGATTTGTAAATGGGCAATTAGTTTATGGCCTGGCTCTCTTGGCAGGGGTAGTATTATACCTTTTTTCCGTGTGTTGAATTTCCCACAGAGAATAAAGTGCAACCAACATTATTATTGTAAGCAGCAGCAGCATTTTTGTTAAAAACATCAGCATAACTGCTAGCATGTCTTCTAATTAAAGAGAGAGACAGAGAGAAAGGTAGCAGTGAGTGAGTAGATGGTAAAGAGAAAGAAGTATGAAAGAGAGAAAGAAAATATAAAGGGAAAAAGAAGGAAAGAAAAATGTATAAAAATCAAAGAATGAAAGCAGATGCGTATGGAAATATGAGTGAAGGAAGAAAGAAAATAGAAAAGAAAAACTCTATCAAAAGAAAGAAAGAGAAAAATTTTAAGAGAAATAATCAAAGAGAGAAAAAATAGAACCAAAAATCACAAAGGAAGAAAGCAAAAATTAGGAAAAAAAGAGAAAAATAATCAAGTGAGTGAGAAATTAAAAAAATAAGAAAGGATCTTTAAAAAAAAAGGACTAAAAAGAAAGACAATGATAAAATGAAAACGGAAAGAATAAAAATGAGAGAAAAAAAAGAAAGTGGGCAGACAGAAAAAGAAAAGAATATAACGAAGAAATAAGGAAGAGGTCAGAGAGAGAAAAAAAATTGAAGAGAAAGAGAGAAATATGAAAAAGAAAGAATGAAAAAAAGAGAAAGGTCAGACATAAAAAGAAAAGAAGGAGAAATCAAGAAAAATAGAGAGACCAGACAGAAAAATAAAATAATGAAAAAGAAATAGATAGAAAAAGAATAAGGTTAGATATAAAAAGAAAAGAATGAAAGAGAAATAGAGAAAAAAAAAAGAGAGGTCAGACAGAAAAACAAAAGAATTAAAGAAAAATAGAAAGAAAAAGAAATAAGCTGGTGAGAAAAAAAAGAATGAAAGAGAAATAGAGAGAAAAAGAATAAAGCTACTCAGAAATATTGTAGTGCCTGTAAAAATTAGAATAGAGATGAAAGAAACAAATGGACAGAAACATCAATGGTGATAGATGATGAAGGATAAGTTAATGTCTTTAAAGAAATGAGAATAATAAAGCAGTGGGGAAGGAAGTTAAAAGAAAGAAAACAAAATGGTTGAATGACTTCATAAAAAGAGGTTAGAATCAGAGAGAGATAATATAAACAATAACATAAAAGAAGGAAGATAAGACTCTCTCTCTCTCTCTCTCTCTATATATATATATATATATAGTTTTTTATTGCTTAAAATTATTTTTACTGTATACTAGTATTTGAGTAGATGCTCCATTTATTTATTGAACAGTATTTATTTTTATCTACTGGCCTGAATATTAAAGAAATCTTGTTAGAAAATATTTTTTTCTAATAAGATTTCTTGAATATTCAGGACAGTAGATGAAAATTCTGTTTAATAAATAAACAGAATGTTGACTCAAATATGAGTATCCACAAAAATAACGTCTAAGTAATAAAAATCTGTCAGATTAATAAATAAAGGATTTATTACTTTATTTAAAAATAATATATATATATATATATATATATATAACATCATACATTATGAAATGGGCTAAGTCCGACAATTATTTTAATATATTTTCTCTATATACATTATTTTTATACATACAAATATTTAAGTAAATGCCCTGTTTATAATAAACAGTATCAACTACATTTTATTTTTTTTTTAAAGCATTTCACCCCAAGCAAGGTGGGAAGCCCCTAGGACGCAAGGGGTTACAGAAAATTTAGAGCAAGATCAGATAGGAGTGATAGAAGAAAGGATGAGGAGAAGAGTAGTGGATAGATCAAGGCAACTGGAGATGTCGATTGACATTACACTTGAATAGCTGGTGATTATAGCTCACAGGGAAACAGGAATAGGGAAGGGAGTTTCACAGGCGAGAGGTGCGAGCTATTGGAGTAGAAGAGACGGCTACATTTAGAAGTTTTGACAGTGAAGGGGTGAGAGCGGGATGCCAGCCTCGTATGGCACTTGAACTCATGACCTCTGGGAACCAGCGAATGCAGCTACTCGGAGCAATTTCCATGAAAGTATTTGTAGAACAGGCAGAGGGAGGCGACAGCGCATCTGTGAGAAAGTGACTGTAAACGAGACACCAGAGCAGGGCCAACTACATTGCAAATCCGCCTCTGGAGCCTATCAAGAACCTCGAGGCAAACAGAAGGGGCACCAGACCATATATGGCAGCAATACTCCATGCAAGGGTGAATTGTTGATTTGAAGATCTGGAGGATCAACTCCGGAGAGAAAAACTTCCTGGCGCGGCTCAAGGAGCCTGAATGTCCAAGAAATTTCATAGAAAATATTATATTATAAACAGAACATTTACTTAAATATTTGTATCTATAAAAATAATGTATATACAGAAAAAAAAAATGTGACCAGCATGAAACAGCCTGTCACCTCTGAATGTTGACTTCAATATCCACTTTTATATTTATATTTACATACACTCTATCTCTTATATTGAGCACTTTATCCCATAAATATAGCACACTTTAAAACTATATTTCTTCTTATATATATATAGTATTACACAACAAAATTACCTTAATTGGGGATAGCTCTATTTCAACTGATGAAAACTTTGCCAGTCTTATTCAACCACTGTTATTACAAAGATTAGTTGATTACCATCCAACATAAACATCTTTAATAAAAATAAAGAATTGTATGATAATGTTCTCCATAAAAGTGGTTTTAAAAATAAATCTTTTCTAACCCCCATAGGTAACAATGAAATATCTAAAGCAAAATGTAGACACAGAAATAGAAAAAGAAATATTATATGGTTCAAGACCCCCTCACCCTGCTCTGCAAACTGTCAAATATTAATATTGGACAGTATTTTCTAAAATTAACAAATAAACATTTTCACAAAAACAACCCTCTAAATAAGATCTTCAATAGGAAAATGATTAAAATTAGCTATTCCTACACCAATAACATGTACAAAATTATCAACTCTCATAATAACTGTATTTTAAATAAGTTCTATGGGATGAACAACAAACCTGATATTGAACCCTCCTGTCATTGCAGAGATAAAGAAAGTTGTTCAGTTGAGGGCAAATGCAGATCTACTAGGGTTATATACCAAGCAACCATTTCCCCCAAAGAAAATGTTAAATTATAATGCTTACATTGGAATTTCCGCAGGGGAATGGAAACAAATATTTTATACCCATATGCACGTTTTTACCAATCCTAAATGAAAACACTAGACAGCTCTTTCAAAAAACATTTTGGGAATTGAAGGAGAAAGGTCGGAACCCACAGATAGACTGGAAAATAATAAAGATAGGTGTAACTTACGTTTAGAAGAAAAAATAATAAAATACAATAATCAAAGCAAACTATTGAATCAAAGGAATGAATTAGATTTAGAATGTTGACATAAAAACAAATTTAAATTTCCATAATACAAATTTTACTTTATTACCCTATATTTCCATTTTTTCACCTTATTAATTATATCTTATAATTGTCCCCTGTTCTAAGAACTCTCTTTCCTTTTATCACTTACACCTCTTCATCTATATTTTTTAAGTTTTTTAAATATAACTTTGTATTTGTTGTTTTTTTTTTAATATAACTTGTTTTTGATTTTATTTGTCTTTAAAGTGAAATTTTTTTTTTCTAATGTATATTTTATCTTATTAGATTTTTATCTTTAAATATTTTCTATTCTTTAATATAATAATTTTTTAAAAATATATTCTTACTTAAATGTAATATAAATGATCTAATTACGACTTATTTTTAATTTTTTAAATATATCATTGGAAGGGTATTTTTAAGTAGGAACCTGTATTTTTAAACCTAACCTATCAATATAATTTAAAAAAAAAAAACTCCCTTTTCAGTCCTCTTTTAGTTTCCAATTAACTCTTCATATAACCCCAATTTACTGTCATGAGGTTAATATCAAAGTTTAATTTTATAAAACCTCTTCCCTTTAAGGCTAATACCTTCTATCCTCCCCTGACCAGTGTCTTGTGCATTTTGTCTGACTGAAACATTGAAATGGATAAATTCTGTATTAATTTTTTGATGGCTGTCACAGTTAAATTTCTAATTCCAACACGAACTCTGTCTATACAACAGGGTTGAATAAGACTGACATACTTTTCATCAGTTGAAATAGATCTACCATAGATCTACTACCACCATATGAGGTAATTTTGCATTTTGCTGTGTAATGCTATTTATTGGCTCTGTTATAATAAACACATTGAGCTCTTTTTGTGGATCAGTTTTAATATTTTATATTACTAGGATCCACTTGGATTATATACAAACAAATTTATTAATTTTACTATATATATCGCCAAACAATTTTGATTAAAAATATCAACAAAGTCTGTTTCATTTTTATTTTTATTATATTTTCCTAATTTTCTAATAAGTTGTTGGGTATTGTGCTAAAAGTTATGTATAAACTGTATGAAGTTCATATTTTGTTATTTTGAAATAGTCTCGTGTGACATTATGTGTAATGGTGATTGGGAAAGAGGCTGCACAAAAAGTATGTGATTTGTTATTGATTTTCCTAAAATTTATATATCATTTTCCTATCCACCAGGTAATTGTGTTACAGTATGAAACATTGAGAAGTGGATTGTGATTACCATATTAATATTATTATTATACTATATATGTGTGTGCTGGTAGCTAGATATTATCAATGCAGGGCTGAACAAAAGCCTTACCCTACAATGATAATTTGGCAATAGATTTATCTTTCTCTTAGACTGGGTACCAATAGAGAGCCCTATTTGTAAGGATGTGTGATGGTTTCAGATAAAAATTTGAACTCTGCTTAAATATTTCATTTTCTGCATTAATAAAAGTTACACCAACTGAGCTTATGTCTTATGTGTTTGTAAAATAACCCTGCCAAAACTGACAATGGGTAAAACAGGCATTTTGCTGTTTCTTTTTGGGAAGATACTAGCATTGTTTAGCAAAGTGCTAATCCACCCAATCTTCTGTGCCAATCATTGTGGTCTGTCAAAGAGAAGACATTTTGTTAAAGTTTAGTTTGTTTTGTTTTATGGCACATCAACCTCAATGGGTCATTTAATGCTGACAACTTCTTATTTTTTTCCTGGTAATATTTTTGTTTTGTCAAAAATCTATTTCTGTTGATATTTTTCCCTCAAAAAAGTATAGCAGGTAATATTATAAAAAAAAAACTTTTAGCTAGTAATATTATTTTTTTCAAAAATATACAGCCAGCAACAATATTCTTTAAAAAGAACATACAGCTGGCAACATTATTTTTTCAAAAATGTATTATAAGAGGCCTTCCTGTTGAACTTACCCAGGCTGCGGATGTAGTTTATCGTTATACCCAGGACACCATTTTGTTACGAGATCTTATCTGGAGGGAGAATACAACAAGAAATGCAAAATGGAAACATCTTCAGTTAAAAATTTAGATTTTATTTGATTTTCCAAAGCCATTTTCCATTCTAAAGAAATATAAAGACCAATTTCAATGGAACCTAATGGTATTGTACATGGTCATTGCAGATTTTCCTTATGTTTTTGATGCAAGGCAACAAAGAAGTCTTAAGGAAAGTGAACACAAAGAGGATAGAATCTTAGAATTTCTAGGACATATAAAGAGGAAGGAAGGCTTGGAGAATTTGACTCTCACAGGACATATCAAAGGAAAAAGGATAAAAAAGGTAATAGGCCACCTACTTGATGAGCTTGTGCAAATGGCTGGTTGAATAGTGCTGGGTGGGATGGCAAAGAGACAAACATTGCTAATAGCTTACAAGAATTAAATCATCTATATAAACCAATAAAATCCCATCAGAAGGTTTGCTTGATAAATAATAATTATGAGGGCAAACACCACCAAAATACTTGGTGGATATAGTTGTAGTCTTACCATGCGTTATTTTTTAACCATTTAGAAAGTAAGAATAATAACTCCCTTCGCCACTCCTGCAAATTCGAGAAAAAGATTTTTGCAAACCAGTGTGAAGTTATTTTCTAACCAATTCACAAAATTTGCACCTCTATGTGAAATTAGATTTCAGATCCTTTTTACAGATATAAAAATAGTAGCATACTGCTTCTCAGGGTTCAAAACACTTTCAGAGGCCAGTTTGATCTACACATGCATACAGACATACCCACACACACGTACACAAGAGAAGATGACAGCGAGCAGCCACCGACTAAGGCCTTGTCTATGAACTCACAAACACATTAGGCTGACTGTTTTAAAGTAAGTCTGTCCATACATCTCACACTGCACTAAAAAAAACTTGATAAAACAAACTTCCCTGCAAGGAAAATTGAACATTTTGTTGTTATTGTACATTTCTGAGAAGAATATATAAATGTTATCTCAAATGATATTTTTCTCCTACTTTTACTTCAGAGGATAACCATTTTTATGTTGTTTTTTTTTTTTAATCATTTCACCCCAAGCAAGGCAGGAATGTCACTAGTATGCCAGGGGTTACAGAGAGTGAAAGTGAGAGAAAGGACTGGTTATAGTGAGGATTGAGAAAAGGAAAAAAAAATGGGGTTCAAGAATAGAAGATTCAATTGAGTTGCATTTAAATTTTTGAAGATTGTAGTTATCAGGGAAGCAAGTAAAAATAGAAGGGAGTTCCACAGGCAGGAAGTGCAAGAAAAGAAACTGTTGGAGTAGAAGTGGTGGTTACATTTAACTATTTCAACTGTAAATGAGTGGGACCTAGATACCAATCTAGTAGCCCACTTCAATTCTTGTAGTTGAGACACCAGGGAAAAAAGCTTGTCAGGGCAGTTGCCATGAAAATATTTGTAGAAAAGACAAGAGGAAGCCAAGTCACATCTGTGAGGAAGTGACTGAAGATGCCAAGTCAGGATTGATTACATTTCAGATCCTTCTTTGGATTTTGTCAAGAACCTCGAGATGAATAGCAGGAGCACCAGACCAGATATGGCAGCAGTATTCAATGCATTGCCGAATAGTAGATTTGTAAATATGCAAGATGGATTCTGACAAGAAGAGTTCCTGGCATGAAACAGTAACCCAACTTTCCTTGCAGTAGATGCAGCTATTAATTCAATGTAGTTGTTCCACTTTAAAGTCATTTGAAAATTTAAGGCCAAGAAGGGCCAGTTTGTTGCTCTCAGGAGTCTAGCATCAGCCATGCTGATGGCAGGCAAAAAAGTTTCTCAATGATGGTTAAATGAGAGCAGTTTAGTTTTGGAGGCATTAAAATTTACAAGCCATTTCCTGCCCCAGTTAACCATTGATTGGAGGTCCTTTTCAAGAGCAGTGGCCAGGTTAACTTTGTCAGCTCTGATGGATTTGTTATTGAGACAGGAGTAAATGGTAGTGTCATCTGTATAAATTCCTACTTGGGAACTGATGACATCAGGAAGATCATTGATGAAGATCAGAAACAGTGTAGGACCCAGGATAGAGCCTTAGGGGACACCCATGTTCATGTGAAAGGATCTAGAATCAAGCCCATTCAAAACAACCGTCCTGGTTTCCTGATTTGATTAAATCAAACAATGCTCATGTAATGCTGTAGCTTTTGAGCTTACATAGAAGACTAGTGTGCCAAATCCTATCAAAAAACTTTGAGATATCTAGAGCCACAGCTTGAGCTTCACCATGATTATTAAGATTATCATTATTATTAATATTATTTTACTTTATCATTATTATACTTATTCAGTGATGACTGTTAGTGCATCGGTGATAGGCCTGGCGAAATGGAAGCCATATTGTTTGTCAGATAGTAGGCCGTGGGAGGTAAGATGCTTAACTACTTCAGCATTGATTAAATCTTTGAATATTTTGCTGAAAAACAGTAGGAGACTAATAGTCAATATTTAGAGGGGTCAGAAAGTTCTTCAGAGTTCTTAAAAACAGGAACTACAGCGAAGACTTCCAACAAACTAGAAAGCAGGAAGTAGCGAGGCAACTGTTGTAGAGTTTGCAGAGAATTGGAGCCAGATCAGGAGCACATTTTTTTTAAGATGACAGCTGGGAACCTGTCACCTTCGCTTGCTTTATGGGAATCTAATTTAGAAATGATGCCTGAGACCAGTGATAATGTTATGCACATGTTATGCACATATCACTCAGTAGAAGCTCTGTTCTAGTGAGGAAATCAGGTGTAGGTACATCAAATGAGTCGAGTATTGAGTTGGAAGAGATTTTACGAGCAAAGCATTCAACCTTATCTTCTGAAGATGTCAGGACTTCGAATTGATTGAATAGGGGAGGGACTGATGTTGTTCAGCACACTGTTGCAGAGCCACCAATAATCTTGCAAGATTTTATACATTGTTTCATTCTATCAACAAACAGTAACTTTGCTTCTTTGAGGACATGCTTGCACTCATTACGAACAGAGACAGAGAGATGTCTGTTACAATCAGACATGTTGCTCTGGTACAGGTGATTTCTGTAGGCTATAGTGGCTGAGTATGCAGGTGAGATCCAAGGAGATGAACATGATTTAAGTTGGTATTTCCTTGCAGGAGGAGACCTCATTTAAAAGATGTTGTTGTTATTAAATATTAGACAGATTCCGACAAGCTTCAATGGATATGTGGTTATGGAGAACCCTGATCACCCATGTCCTGAAGGCACTCAACACATGGAAGAAGAAGAAAATTAATGGAAGCATGAGACTTAATCTCTAATCCACATTACATTTTATTTAACTTTGGACTTCAATTACTGTCAGCTTGTGGGCATGTGGCCTCAGAGCCTACTTCAAATGTGGACCCTATATGCTCAGGTGGATGTAAGAAACTGTCCTCTCTCATTCTCTCTTTATATACACCTATCATACATTTTTTCAATGTGCGCTCATTAACATCAGGTGAAGGGCAATTCTCCACCCCTAGCACAGATATTCTCTCAGGGCAACCTGCTGATGCACCTGACTTCTCTGAAAATATGCTGTGACACTGAGTGCAAAGTCTATTCTAGCATCACCTGGGGTGAGTCATATACTACAGGAATAAGCCATGTGAATTGTTCACAAACATAAATTTTATGGTGAAAATATGTTCAAAATCATGTAAAAATTGAAAGAAATCTGAATTTTTACTACCTCCAAAAACAGAATGGAGGAATATAGATTCAAACCTTTCCCAAAGGTTTTGTGCTAAATTCCTACTAATAATTCTCTTCCAATCTTTAGAGGGAAATATCCATTTTTAAAAGAACAACTATATGACTGTGCAAGAAGAATCCTATCATTACAGTCCAAACAGAAATATAATCAGTTGCCAAAAAAAGGATTCCAATTGACAGAAAAAATTCCACAATATTGCAGAAAGCAATAGAACTTCCTGTCAAAAAATTACATTTGACTTTTTTGGTTTTATTAATTTTATTTTAATAATATATTAACACATAAAATCCATGTAAATCCTTGCATTTGATAGGACTTACTCAATTTCATAAAAAAATTTTCTGAATGACATTTTTCTTAAAAGAAAAAATCAGACAAAAAAACAAAAAACCAAGGACTCAAGGAAACTTCATTTCTAAAATGAAATTAAACTCTTGACAAAATCTTACATTGATTTATTTATTTCCTTTTTATTTCTTTTTGCAGACTGTGAAATGAAAAAGTTAATTTTTCAAGAGCCATTCACTGCACATAAGCACAAAAGGTTTCGTAGAAAACAAGTTCCAAAAATCTCATACTTCAAATTGAATTTAAATGGCCTATATTTTGAACAAAACTGTTTTTTTTTTTTGCAATGAAAAACTGCCATTTCTCAATTTTTCATTAAAAAATAAGAAAGTTCTTTCAAATTATTAGGCTGCTCGTTCATACAATTGTAGGAAAAAAATTAACACCCTTTTTACATTTATCAGAAATGAATTCCCTCCCTTTTGATGAAAGTGTTTTATTCATGACTATACAAAGAAGTGAATTCCTGTGCTCCTGCTGGGCCATATGTGTATTTCTGGGAAGAATAAGTATAAAAGCTTTTAAAGATCTTTTTCTGTTTTTTTTTTTTAAGAATTTTTTTTATTGATAGTTCGCAGCTTTTCATTTTTCCTTTTAGTTAATAAATGTGTTACTGACAAAATGATTGGTTTTTAAATTTTTAATCTTTGACAATATGAAATCAGTAAAAGTTTAAATGTTGTGTAGGCTTAAATTGCAGAAATGTCTTTTGAAAAGGAAGAAAAGAACTAAGAATAAAGTGAATGAGGAAGGATGGATGGATGTAAATGTTAATGTAAAACAGGATAAAAGTTAAAGGACAAAAGAAACAAATTCAAAATGAGAAAAGAGAGAAAACGATACTCATAAGGAGAGAAATGAAGTGATCGACTGAAAAGAAAGAAAACTGAGAGAAAAAAAAAATAGAAGAGAAAAAGTTTCTGAAGAATAAAAATTGTTTTAATTTTCCTTCTTCAGAAATCTTTTTCTATTTCATGATTGTAAAGAGAAATGTAGAGATGGCTGAGAGATGAAAGAAAAAAGAGATAAAGAAAAGCTTGGGAAAAGTTCAATAGAAGGTGTTGGGAATATTTGATGAAAGAGAGAAAAAAGTAAAGGAAAGTGAAAAAAAATGTTTAGCACAAAAAAAAAAAAAAAAAGCAGAAAGAAAAAGTTGAAATGAAAAAAGAAGGAAGAAACATTCAGCCATGATACAACAAATTAAACAGGAAAGAGAAAGGAAGTAAAAAGAAAGATCAATGAAGGAAAGGAGGCAAAGAAGCAATGACGGAAATGAGTTGTTGAATGAGCAATTCAAGAATGAATGCTAAAAAGAAAGAAGAAAATGAAGTGAGTATAAAGAATGAAAGGGAATGAAAAAGGACAGAAAAAATAGAATATGAAAAAAATAGCAGAAAAAAGAAAAAGCAAAAGAGGGAAAATAAACGAAAATAAAAAAAAACTACAAAGAAACAACAAAGAGAAAAGAAGGATGAAAAAAGAGAAGAGTAACGACTGTGAGAGATACAAAGAAAAGAACGAGATGTAAATGAAAACATAATAAAATAAAATTAATTAATAATAAATTTGAGTAAACAGAAAATAAACAAGATAAAAATAGAATCAAAGAGAAGGAGTAAGAAAAAGAAAACAAAGAAGGAGAAAAAATAATAAAAACAAAATGAAGAAAGAAAGGAAAAGCATTAAAATTAAAAGAAAGAAAAAGAATGAAGATAAAGAAAGAAAAGAAGAGATGAGAGAGAAAATAAGAAAAGGACAAAAAGAAAATAAAAGTAATTAAGAAAAATAAGAATACATGAATGAAAGAAAAAAGAAATGAAGAAAGAATAAAAGAAAGAGAAAAGTAATAAAAATACATGAAGAAAGAAAGGACTAAATAAAAAATAAAAGAAAGAAAAAACGATGTTGACAAGGAAAGAAAAGAAGAGATAAAAGAGAAAAAATAAATACAGAAAAAGACAAAAAGAAAATAAAGGTAATGGTGGACAAAATATAAGAATAAATGGAAAGAAGAACAAAAGAAATAATGAAAGAAGAAAACAATAAAAACTGAATGGGAGACAAAGTAAAGGAAAAGAATGAGGGATAAATCAGCAATAGAATAAAATAAAACACACAATCTTTTGTTCTGGTTCTTTTAAAAAGATGGCCTCCCTGTAAATGCATATGTCTTTATTGTTTGCAATCAAAACCTAATTCAAAGGCAGGCTCCCCTAGATTAATTTCAAGGAGTTATTCCTTTTTGTGAAGTGATATTGGTGACCTAGGTTAATACCCACAATGCAATAATGCTCAGGTTCTTAACCTGGTTTTGGAAACTTTGTTACTGCTGAGGTTGAAGTCAGAGAAAAAATTTGAAATGACTTTTGGAGATAATCTAGTATTAAAATTTAATTACCAGCATGTAACAGCATTTCTTTTTAACATAAAAAGCAGTAATTTTCATCCCTACATTTTAAAAAATGATTAAACCATAGTTTATAAAAAGTACGATTAAAAATAAAGAAAAATAAAATGAGAAACAATACTGTTTCAACTCAACTAAAATTATGCTGGAAATATACAGTAAATGAGGTCCAAGGGAGGTAAGTATTCTTTTATGAGCTATGTCCTTTCAGGAAATTGATGATCATGACTCTCTATAACTTCCTGTCTTTTGTTGCTTTAAGTAACAGGCTTATCAAGTCATAGGGTTACTTTGCCTTCATTATGTTTGGTGAGTATTAAATTCTCTCCACTTTCTTTCTTCATAATGTCCCAGAAATTTCAACTGTCTCATTCTGATTGTAAGTGTCTGTGTTTCCTTGTACCTTCAATTTTTGTTAAGACTTCCTCATTGCTCACATGTTCTGCCTACAGCATTCATTATTACAACTACATCTCTCTTGCTTCAAGTCTTCTCTTCATCTGTGAAGAGATTGTCCAGTATTCACTGCCATACAGGACATTAGATATTACACAGTAGTTCAGCAATATTTTCCAACAAATAAATACTTTATTTACATTATTCGGACTATTGTCCTCATCGTTATCGCCATGTTTATCACAACGTTTCAGCCGTTGTACGCTCCAGCCTTCTTCAGGTGGTTGGAATGTCAAACTGAACCCTTTATTTCGCTCACTGGGGTAAACTATTCTAGTTCCACATGCCATGTCTTACGGATGTCAGTTATCTCCTGTTAATTCCCCTCTCAAAGTTCTCCACAGCCTTAACCAGGTATTGAACTCTCACTCTTTGAAACTAGAACAGTATACCCCAGTGAGCGAAATAAAGGGTTCAGTCGACATTCCAACCATCTGAAGAAGGCCAGAGCATACAACGGCCGAAACGTTGTGATAAACATGGCGATAACGATGAGGACAATAGTCTGAATAATGTAAATAGTGTACATAATACCTCATCTCAGAAATATAGACAGATACTGAAATAAATACTTTGCTAGGTTCCTGGAAGACATTTTTTGCTATTCCTCAATGACTTCAGATATCAGTGTTATATAACAAGCCTTATTTATTACAGTTTGACCAGATTGTATCCAGCCATTTCAAATATCTCAAAAACTAGGTAAGTAAATAAGAAGTGTAATATTTGTTCTCCACATCTTTAATGGGGATAGTAATGGTAATATTAGCCATTTCCTAGTAAGGAAACATTTAGCATTAATTGACCAAACAGCCAGTATGGCTTTTGGTTGAAACTTATAAAATCTTACTCTTAAAACAATTTTTCTGGAAAATATGTTTCTCAAGTCCAGTAGCTGTTATTGTTCTTTCCATTATTTATGGGAGTTTCCATCCTAATCTTTTATTCAAAGTAGTGAGAAACATGAACATCTTGTTTATGACACTATTTTCTCTTTGTGCTAATCATGAAATGAATCCCAATCAGTATGTTGAGAACAGAAAGAAAGGTTTAAAAATTCTGTTATGAATTATACATTTTAAGTTACTGTCATTTAACATTTTTTCCCTATATTTGAGTACATAAGAAGTCCAGAAAATGGATTAGATGTATACATAATTATATAATCTGTAGTTAGTTATATATAATGATATTGATGAAAATAATACATGTATCAAAATATATAAAAATCAGAATTTAGTATATTTTAAAGGTGGCAGAATTTTTGTCAAAAAGTGTTCAACAGGTCAGTAGAGTAACAATAGTCTCTAAATTAATGATAATGGTAATATTAGCCATTTTCTTATAAGGAAACATTCAGTATTCATTGACTGATCAGCCAGTGCTATTTCAGTTGGAATTTAGAAAATCTTTCTCTTAAAACAATTTTTCAGAAAAATGTTTCTCAAGTCCAGTAGCTGTTCTTGATCTTTCCAGTATTGATGGAAGTTTCCTTCCTAACTGTTTATTTGAAGTAGTGTTGAATGTCAACATCTTGATAATAACATTATTTTCTGTTTGAGTTACAAGTGATATCAGTTTTAGTTATTACTGATGTTGAAAGTCCTCAACTGATGTGGTTTCTGTTATTTGGTACAGTTCTTTGTGAATCAGTCCATAAGGCTTGGAGAAGTGTGGTCCTTGTCAAAATCTACAGGCTTCACTTGCTCAAAACCATTTTTAACCATTGATCTTCAAAAGCGGTTGTATATCATTTAAGGATATGACTCAATGAGTGATATACAAAGTATTATTCACCAATTACAAATATCTGTAATTTAGAGATGACTAACAGAAATTGATGATGGTTGGTTATAAAATACTCTACTAATCATGAACAATCTACTTGCTCCGGCACTGTGAATATGACTGTCACACAGTACACAAGCTCACTCAGTAGTATTGTACTGCTGGCATTTTTCTTTTTTTTCTCTATTGTTCACTCAAAATAAGACACAAGAGCCACTCAATGTAGGGGGATTAATAACCAAGTTTATTGTAAGGGGACACCGTGAGGCAGCAAGAAGTGAATATTATGATGAGATGTAGGATACATAACAGTTAACTGCAAATTTGAAGAGTGTAGTGATCAAAAAGCATCCTCTTGGGAGTCTGTTCTACAATACAACAGTTCTGGGGAAGAAACTGTCTGAGTGTAACTTTTATGTTACCAATGGAATATGAAGAGAATAAGGATCAATTAACCCAGAGTAAATGGCTTGAAGGTCTGAACATGTGTAATAAAGAAATGTTAGTTTTGCCCAAACATCAGAAAATTTTTTTCTTTTTAGGTTAAACAAAGGAATGACTCCTGGGTACTTGGATAAGAATATTTCAATTTGATGAAAGCAGGTCCTGAGGACACAAACCACCCACTGAAATTTCTTACCCTTTGATTTAAAATAAATTTAAATTTGAATATATCCAAAATATAGAAAGAGAAAACCAGAAGATGGAGGTCACATTGGCAAGATCATTGAGTCATATTGAATTGCATCATTTTTCTCCACAAATTATAACAATGATTTAAAAATCAATCATCATTTTTTTACAAAAACAATTGTGTGACATGCAGCAAGTCATGGGTAGGTAATTTGGCTAGTAATAATAATAATAATACCCTGATGCTATTCCTGATCTTAATTGATTAAAGGTGTTAAACATGTACATGTTTTATTTTGATGAATTAAAAAGGGCTAAAGCAAATAACCTATTCAGTAATGCCCTGATCCTATAACAGGCAAGGCTCTCCTGACTGAAGGTGTTGACATATATATAAATTTGGTTTTGGTAACTTTAGATGGGCTACAGTAAATAACCCATTCAGTATGACAGATTTGCTTGTTACTTTCCTGACCCATAACTAGTTGAGTATATCCCACCATGTAACATTGCTCATCAGTGAGAGTAGTTGGGGAGATGGCCAGGTATCAAGAGTTTTTTTTTAAGTTTGAAGGATTAAAAAACCAAGAAGATATGGGAGTCATATATATTACAGAACACCGTCACTTGAGTGAACTGGGTTACCTGGCCTGAAGGGATTTCTAAATGGCTCCACTTGCCAGCACATATTACACATTTGCATGTGATACATGTGCATAAGATATATATATATATATTTGTATGCTAGTGAGATTTTATTGGCATGCTGAATTCCCACTCAATAATAATAATAATGGCTCTCTTTCTTTTTTTTTAATCATTTCACCCCAAGCAAGGCAATGAAGCCACTAAGATGCAAGTGGTTACTGAATGTTAAAGAATATGAGAAAAAGTAAAGCATTAAGGGGAGAACAATGAAAGAACACAAATGAAGAAGAAAAAGATAAGGGTTGACATTGCATTTAAAATTTGAAGATCAAAGGGAATAAGGCCATTAGAATGCAGGGGGGTTACTGAGTGTTAGAGAATATGAGAAAAACTACTATTAAGGAGAGAGAACAATAAAAGAACAAGAATTAAGTAGACGGAAAATAATGATTGACATTGTGCTTAAACTTTTGAAGATCAAAGTTGACTGGAAAATAAGAAGTTGGAAGAGAATTCTACATAAGTGTGAGAGAAGAAAATGTTTGCATAGAACTTACAGCTATGTCTAGCAATTTCAGTTACAAAATGATGAGACCTAGCTGTCAATCTAGTATTAAGCCATAACTTTATAAAGTGAAGGTACCAAAGTGGAAAACTCATCAGAATAATTACCAGGTAAATATTTATAGAAAAGGTACAGGGAAGCTATGTTACTATTGAGTAAACAGCATTATTAAGTTAGGCTTAGTAGAAATGACTATTTGGGATAAAATTATAGTCTATGGTTGTAAGCATTGGGGAATATAATTAGCTTAAAGGAATTCATAACTTTACAGGAAAGATACACAGCCAATTTTTTTGGACAAAGACTGATTTGTTTTTTATGACTTATCAACCCCTTGCAGATTATTTAAAATGAGAAAACCTTTTTAATTTGTAAGAATTTTTTTTAGAGATGAGAATGGTTTACTGATACACGTCCTACTAATTAACCCATAGCTGGGAGGAGAAGAGGTACCATTCCCAAAGGTATTTGAATGTAAGTGAATGTAATGAACACAACTGGAATTTGAACTCGGCTTTTTGATTTTGCAGTTCTGGGCTGTTACCCAAAGTAGTCACTCATCTAATTACTGACTAGGCTCAACACTGCTTAACTTTGGTGATCATATGAGAACTGGTGTTTCAATGTGATATGGCTGTAAGCCAAGGAAAAACAGTGTATCTTATATGACATCAAACATGATAAGTAATTCCATGGAACTGAATCTACTTGTGCATGTACAGTTAAGTTCCCTCTGATTGGCTGCCATATTATTATTATATCATATTACATATTATATATATAGTATATCATATATATCATATTATATATATTATATCATATATTATATCAAGGATGCGCAATCAGTTTTTGAAATATTTCTGAAGAGGCTGAGGAATCCCTAGATCATCTTCTAATTCTTGCATTGTCATTCAAATATTTCCTTTGATTGCAGATCACATATATGTTCAAAGGGCATTTTGTCTATTGAACTCCTTCCAGAATTGCTTTTAACAGATTGTCAGCCAAGTTCAAAGTACCTGCATCAAAATTTTATTTGCTGTTCACTCAATGAATCATCACTGAAAATCTTCTTTATCATTCAAATGATATTCACTGCGAATATAACAATAATTCTTCTTCAGGATGTGGATGATCAAAACTCACCTGAACTTCCTATCACTTGTGGCCCCTAGCAGCGTTTGTCCCTCTGCCAAGCTTCCTGCTCCCAGTCCTGCCATCTATTCATACAACTTGTCAGATAGGTGGCCTGCTGCTTTTCTATCTCTCTTATCCTCGATATGCCCTGTGAGTGTCATATTTTTCAAGCCCTCCTTCCTCATTATGTGTCCAAGAAATTTCAGCTGTCTCTCTCTGATTTTGTTGGCTGGGGCTTCAGAATACGATGACTGCACCTCTGCAGAGGGGTACCCCCCCAATGAGACATTCTGGGTATGACGATAAACTACATCTACATCCTTGGTTTTGATGATGAACTACATCCAGCAGCAAGGCCTCTGATCAGGAGGTTTCCTGGAGTGTGGAACCACCTCTTAACTGCTGGTGTCTCCAGGTCTGCCCTGACCCGGGGTGGTAGCACCTGTTAGGATGCCAGCTGACTTGTTCTGTTCATGGAATTCTTTGCACCATTCTGTCAAACTAGATCTCTGTTGTCTCCAGGTTTTTCTTCATCTGTATTGAGATCGTTCAACATTCACTGTCACACAAGAGGACTGATATCACATCCTAATTCAGGACTTTTTTCTTTGTTTCTAATAAAGTTCTCCGTTATTTTGTTTAGCTTTTGGTATGCATTTTTCATTAATCTGATGTGCGTTCAAATTTTGGTGTCACATCTTCCATCCTCTACAATATGCAAATTCTCTCTCAATAGCATCTCACTAAAAATTAAATAACCCCATAAGTTTCTGCTTGTCCATGTGCAGTAAGGTCTGTTATTGTTTGCGAAGTTATAACCAGTTTTTGCAATATCAAAAATAACTGAGTACATTACAGACAGCATTTTTTTTTAAATATTTCAACTGAAGCAAGGCAATAAAGCCACTAAGATACAAGGATTTACTGAGTGTTAGAGAATATGAGAAAAAATACTATTTAGGAGAGAGATAACAATTGACATTGCATTTAAATTTTTGATGATCAAAGTTTACATGGAAGCAAGAAGCTGGAAGATAGTTCTACAAGTTAGAAGTGCAATAGAGAAACCTTTAACTTAGAAATTATGGCTATATCTAACCAATTCAAAAGTAAAATGATGATACTTTGACATCAATCTAGTACTGTACTTAAATTCATAAAGTACAGGTACCATAGTAAAAAGTTCATTAGAAGAATTTCTATGAAAGTATTTATAGGAAAAGAAATCAAAAGATGCAGAAAGGTTCTTAAGATATTCATATTCATTAGAAACAATATAAATAGACCTTGTATTATACAAACATTGTATAAAAGAAAATGTTTCTATTATTATGATAATGTCCTATCCTGACTAATTGAATAATTACTTGAATGAGATACTCCAGTTTTTATTGTTGACAATTCTCTTGTTTCATTGTAAAGTATCATTACAATAAATGGTAAATGTTTTAACTTTGATATTTTCTTTTTGTTTGACTGCAAGTTTTTATGACTCGATGTGGGTACATTTGTTTAAATTTCTTTTGAATTAGTTTTAATGTGCTATATAAAATAACGTTGTCTTTCAAGCCTCATTTGTTGTTACAAGACATAAAATATGAGGATTTTTAATCAGTATCACACCATGCAAGGCAGTAAAGTCACTAAGACACAAGAGGTTACAGGGTGTAGAAGAATTAGGAATAGAAACATTAATAATGAGCAGGAAATAAAAAAAAGAGTAATCAGGAGGACAGTAGATAGAGATTGACATTGCTTTTAAATTTTTGCAGATTAAAGTTGGCTAGAAATCATGGAGCTGGAAGGGAGTTCCACAAGTGAGAAGTGTTAGAAAAGAAACTGTTAGCATAGAATTTACATTTACATCTAGTCAGTTCAACTGTAAATTGATGAGATCTTAACGCCAGCCTAGTACTGCACTTAAATTCAAAATGTTTAGGTACCATAGTGAAGAGCTCATCTGAACAATTACCATGAAAATATTTACAGAAAAGGCACAGAGAGGCAACCTTATGGTGGTGGGAAAGTGACTGAAGCTGAGCCACCAGATCAGGACCAATAATATTGCTGATTCTCCTTTCCAAAGCTAAAGAACCAATGCTGTTTTGCTGTTGTATTCAATATGGTTTGGAGAATATATGGGTTCATGCCTTTTCCAAAGGCATTAGTGTGAAGTGACATGGAGAGAAAAGAAACAGTCTGACAGGGAATCTGAACCGTGTACCTTAATTCCATTTTATACACAGTTAACTTGTATTTTTACTCTTGTTTCAAAATATAAGCGGCATCTGGGTTAATCATCTTGGTGGGAATTTTTCAACTTATCACATAAGCATACCAGATCAATAAACATTTCACTGAGTATTTTTATATAAGTTTAATAAAACATGGAACAAAATAATCATGCTGTGGAAAACATTGTTTGAGAAAATAGAAATAATAAGCCTCCTGCCGCAAATAAGTACTGCGTCAAGGGTAAAAATGAATGAAATAATTTAATAGTTCCAGTAACTGTGTTTGATACACAAAAGTCTTTTATGTGTTGTATTCCTTCAAGAATTAGATAATTATGGTCCTCCACATTTTCCTATCTTTTGAAGCTCTTAGCAATGTTTTCCCCTTCATTATCCCCCAATTCCTGTGCTGTAATCCATTTATCCAAGCTTTGTTAAGTAGATTATTCACTGTTATCCTCTGCCATGACTGCTTTCAATATGTACTGTGTGTCGAATTTTCTAAGCCCTTTTTCTTCATTATGTAAATTCCAGACGTTCCAACTATCTCTTTCTGATTCTATCTACAAGTGTCTTTTAATTCCCATTTTTCAAAAATCTTCCTTATTGCTCACATGTTCAGTGCATGGTATACTAATCATTTTTTTGTTAAACCACTTCTCCATTGCCTCAAGTCTCCTTTTCATCTGTGATAAAATAGTCCAGCATTCACTGCTATACAGGAGGACTGATAGCAGTTCAGCACTCTTTTCTTTGTTTCTAACAAAATTTTCCTATATATGAATGCTTGCTTTTAACAAGAACAACAAAAAAAAAGGAATTTTTTCTTAAAGATGAAGTATTTACAGCCATGTTTTTAAAGATAATTACCTTTGTATTTTCAAAATAACCTTTTAGATGAGAAGGGTCACTGGCCTTCTTCAGGCATATGTTCTAACTTTTGGAAATTAACAATGTTCAAAAAAGTTCAAATAATCAAATTTACATTTAAATCAATAAGGAAATATTAAAAATATATACATAATTGTGTTGCTTGACTTGCTACACATTCGTTTATTGATTTAACATGCTTACTTAATTAGCATTTGTAAATTTTATCTATATATGATTGATCAAACATTATCTTATAATATCACAGGTAGTTACAAAATTAGTCTCAATTTCATGTGACGTAATATCAACGACTTCATACTATATTATATAATTACGTTAGTTGTTTTGTTACATATTGTGCTCTATTGATTAGCATACTTAATTTCAGTTACTTCTACTTCTTATCTAATCATAGCAACTATTTAATTGCATTACATAAGTATAACAACTTGTGATAAGTAAAATAAAACTCAGCTACAAAATAAAAGGGGGAGTAAGTCATAGATTATATAGCCACCGTGGGTGAATTTATTGCTTATACAACTTGAGTGTAGGATACCACATTCTTCTCTCCTTTGAAAATTGTGGCTTCACCATCCATAATGATCTGGGGTTCTCGCCGTCCATTTAGATTTCCTCATCTGTTGGACCTCAGCAACAGATCCATTACATGTCATGCCCTCCTCCAGTATAGAAACAATCTGGGTACTTCTGTATTGTTCCATGGTGGTGGGCTCAGAGGTTAACTCTATTTCAGGGCGGGGTGTCAAATCGTGAACATATACAGTAGACTCCCTTCCACCTGGATATCTTATGTTGGTATGTCGGATTACTGTTGAGGATTGGTTTTACTCTTTCTTAAAAGCCTTTTTTAATAGTATGAGACCTGATGACATTAGCCAGGAAGGCAGTAAACTCCTGTGTGATGAGCGATGCAGGAATACAAAGAAGTGTTCATGAGGGATGGAATTTGTTGAGGTACACAGTAACGATCTTATGGAGTGTTAACGCTGCAGGAAGCACCAAATCTCAGTACTTTTCAGGTTTGTTACACAACCTAACGGCTAGACAAATTGCCATCCATATAATGCCATTAAATTGTTCAAACTTTGTGTTCCCACTTGGGTAATATGGAGTGGTTTTACTTGTTGTGACCCCTTTTTGGGAGAGACAGTTCCTCAAACAGGAAAGACACCCCTCAGTTTGAGTGTATATAGCCAGGCATCCTGACTAAGCTGAACAATAGATCTAGGGATTTAATTACTGATGTTGTGTCCATGTTTGGACATTGGGAAGACGAATGGAAACTGTGAGTATTTGTCAATTACTACAAGTAAATACGTGTTATGTGTTACGTGTGACAGGAGGTGTGGTTCCCTTGAAGTTGATACTTAGTCATTCTATGGGTCTGGTCACCTTGATAAGAATGCTTCCTGGTGGGTGAAAGAAACAAAATTTAACCTCTGCACAAACGCTACAAGAAGCACATGCTTTTTTTACCTCCTCCATAGAAAAAGGGAGATTTTTTGTTCTAATAAAATGCAGAAATCAAGTAAATCTCAGATGGCATCGTCCATTGTGAATGTCGGTGAAGTCTGAAGTGGTAATGGCTGAACAAGTGTAAGCTGACCTAAATGTGTTAGGAACTGCATTCTTCTTACCAGAACAATATTTTATCATGTAGTCAAATACTGCAAGTTTTAACCACTGCTCCTGAATCTTAGCCTTTTTTATTTTTGGTACGCTTTTTGTTGTTAAACATGAAGGTCACCAATCTTTGGTCAGTAACTAGAGTGAAATGTTGTCGTGATAGTGATTCCACTTACAAATCACCTCAATCACCTCCTTCTCTACTATGTGATATTTCATCACATTTTCACTTCCTTTTAGTGTTTTTGACATGAATGCTACTGGGCATCTTCCTTGGTTGAGGACAACAGAAATGGTGATATATGATGTGACACGCTCAACCTCGAAAAGTAAGCTTTCATCTACTGATTTTAGTGTGGCCTCTCTTAGTTCTTTTTTTAACTGACTGAAAGCATCAAGTGCCCTCTTCTCAAGTGGGAATTTTTTAGTTTCTATTAAAGGCCAAATTTTATTAGAAAATTTGTTTATCCATTTCGCATAATATGCAAACATACCCAGCACACTTTTTAATAATTTTGAGTTTTCTAGTTGACGTAGGTCTCTTAAGGGACCTCTGGGCTTAATAAGTCCACTGCCAAGACAGTATCCCAACACATTGATGAAATGTACTAAAGCCATAGATTTCAACTGTGGGATAAGCCTAGCTTTTGTAATAACCTCCAGGAACTTTTTTATATTTGGGTCATGTTCTGTCTTCATGCACCCTGCAATTGTCATATTGTTGATGTAAAGGAATGCACCATGTAGGTTTTCTGTCTTTATTATTGTCAATAGCTCTCTGGAACGAGGCAACCCTGTTTTTGACCCCAAATGGAATTCTATGGAACTGAAATAAATGACCATTTGCCTCAAAAGCAGTGTATTTTTTTTATCTGATTCTTTAAGTGGCACTTAGTGGTAGGCACTTCTGAAGTCGAATTGAGAAAAACTGCTCTATCTATTGAGGTCATTAATCCTTTTATCAATTCCTGGCAGGGGATAAGTGTCCAGTTCTGCGTATAGGTTTATCATCGATGAATAATCTACGCACATTCTTTTTTTTTATGATGGTGGTTAGGGTCCTTCACCACTACTAGTTGGGCTCACTATGGTAAAATGATTTCTTCAATTACACTTTCAGAAAGGAAGTTCTGAATTTCTATAGTGATGAAGGCCTGATCTTCCTTGTTAAAGTGCTTCAACTTGGCAGCAATGAGCTTACAGATTAGGAAATAGTGAACATTCTTCTATCTCTGCTGCATTTAATGTGGGAATTGACAAGCATTGTCCACAGTTAATTTGGGCAGGGACCACTGTATTTAAACGTTGCCCTCTGATACTGACACAGAAAATCCTGTCCGAGTATTACATCAGAACACAAATCCTTCAAAGCACCCAAATTGGTGGCAACATGTGACTGGTCGTTAAGGCAAAAGGTAAGATTTACAGCTATATAACCTCTTGAATTAGTGTTTAAAGTTTTCTGGACCATGGTGACACCTTTATTAGATGGGTGAACTTTCAAGTTTAGTTTCTGCATGGTTTCTTCACTAAGATAATTCTCATTGCTACAAGAATTGAGTAGAGCACTTAGTTTTTTTTCATTAACAATTATGTGCGTCGCCATGGGGTAGAGATCATGTGGTACATTAGTAAGTGTGGTCTGTATATGAGGATCAGCTACTATTGCTAATGAAGTTGATGAAGGTTTGAACCAACATGCATGAGCTTAATGTCCTTGCTTTGAGGATTTTTAACAAGTAGTTAGGTGAGCATGACAGCAGTCCTGCAAATGATTGAGAAATCCACAGAAAAACATTTACTTGCTTAATAGGTCATGGCTAGTAGTGTTTAGTTAGGTTTAGTATGGTATACGGCATATCAACCTCAATAGGTCATTTAATGCCAACAACTTTTTTTTTCATTTATTTTTTCTGGTAATATTTTTGTTTCATCAAAAATCTATTTCTGTTAATATTTTTTTCCTCAAAAATGTATAGCTGGTAATATTATTTTTTCAAAAACATATAGCTGGTAATATTATTTTTTCAAGAATGTATCGCTTGTAATATTTTTTCAAAAACGTATTCCTGGTAATTTTTTTTTCTTCAAAAAATTATTTCAGGTAATAATTTTTTACAAAGTATATCTGTAATTAAAATCTATTTTTACACTTTTATAATGGTTTTTACCTCAGTTTCAGGGTTAACTATTTGCCCATAGCTGGGACCCTAACAGTTGCTACCACTCCAGGTCAGGGTGGACCTAGGAACACCAGTAATTAAGAGGTGGTTCCATGCTCCTCAAATCCTCCTGATCAGAGGCCTTGCTGTTGGACCTAGTTTATCGTCTTACCCTGGACGCAAATGTAGTTTATCATCATACCCAGGTTGCAGATGTAGTTTTAGTTTCAGGGTTAACTATTTGCCTATAGCTGGGACCCTAACAGGTGCTACCACCCCGGGTCAGGGCAGACACGGGAACATCAGCAATTAAGAGGTGGTTTCACGCTCCTCAAAACCTCCTGATCAGAGTCCTTGCTGCTGGACGTAGTTTATTGTCTTACCCAGGATATGGATGTAGTTTATTGTCATAATCCAGGATGGTGTTTAGTTAGGTTTGACCAAAGGTTTATAACAATTCTCACATACTTTTATGGGTTCCAGGTCGACTACTGCTGCCATTTTGAAGTAGCATACAAGTTGTTATTCCATTAGACTAAGTCTAATGCAAAAGCTTGAGTATAAGCTGTTTGGAGGTCCAGCATCTTATTTTCCAGGAGACGCTGCCGTATGGGATGTGAACATATGCCTGTAATGAAGGTGTCCTGCATAGCTTCATTGCCACATTTTTCAGCAGTATGGTCTCTGATGTTGCAGTTCTTCCTCAGCTTTTCCAACTCCCTGAAAAAATTGTCCAGCAACTCTCTTGGCTTATATTGTCTCATATTCAACAAGTGCCTTGCAAAAACTTCATTAGGTGTTTCAGCAAATAAATTATCCAATTTTTGAATAGCCATGTTGAAACCTGTACATCCTTCTATATATTCAAACATGCTGCAACTCATACAGCAGCTCAAGAGGGCCCAGTACTTGTTAGGAATTCTGTCCTTGTAATCATTGAAATAGTTCAACAGAATGGTTTGCCAATGGTGATAATCTCTGGCAGTTGTTGGTGAACAGGAGTCAATATCCAAATGCTTTGACCATCATGCCGTTTCCATGTTTGTTGTTGTATTGGTTTAGCTAAATAAATTGTAATAAGTAAAACAAAAATTTAGCACCTCTTTTATATATATATATCTTTTTTTGGCAAATGAGCATCAGTACATATGCAAAAAAGACCTTGGATCACATGTGGACATGTTTGTCAACACCAGTTACATCAAGGTTTTTTTATGTTAGCCGCTGGACAGTTTGGTATGTTTAGCTTGATACAGGCCTCTTTGCAACTGGTCAAGATCCAAACCATTGTAAGATACCTCATGGCAATAAAAACTGAGGGAAAACAGTGGTTGGTAGTTGGAGAGACATGGTGTCATGTGAAGTCAGTCCTATCGGTGTTTTGTTCCTCATGTTGCTTTGGTTTTTGAGGCAGTGTTTTTTTTTTTTTGTTACCTCTTATCGTTTACCCCTCTCTCCCAATGATCTCCATAGTTGCTGGGAGAGTAATCAGTTAGGTGTTTTCACCCAATCTCAACAGACTCTTTGCTTACACTACATCATTTCATACCAGGCAAGACAATAAAGCCACTAAGACATAAGGGGTTATACTATTAAAGAGAGGGGAAAATAAAAAATCAAGAATTAAGAAGGCAGAAGATAACAACTGTCATTGCATTTAAATTTTTGATGATTAAGGTTAATTAGGAAATAACTTCATTCCACAAGCAAGATGTGATTGAAGAAACTGTTAGCATAGAACTTACAGTTACATCTAGCCATTTCAACTGTAAAATGAGGAGACATTTTT